CATGTTGATTAAGTATTGAGCATATTTCCCATACGTATGGGTGTTTCCAGGCAGAACTGTACAAGTGCCGTTAACGACACTTGTGTCGTTATGTTGATTTTATCAATATTTTTCTACTTTTTCAGCTTAACGACCTCAAGAATTGGACTCCCTAACTTATGAAGGCTGAAAATGTTGATTAGGTGACAACTAACGGTGAAATTGATGTAGAATATATGGTATTGAACGGTGAAATCATACAAGCGTTGAGCATATCTTTCATACGTTGTAAGAGGCATGTCCATCCTACAATTGAAATGAGTTTATCGTGGCTCAAACGAAGTCGTGACGCTCTGTATGGGTGCTTCCAGGCAGAACGGCACAAGTGCCGTTAAATGACACTTGTGTCGTTCTGTTGATTTCATCAATATTTTTCTACTTTTCTAGCAGAACGACCTCAAGAATTGGACCCCCTAATTTAAGAAGGCTGAAAATGTTGATTAGGTGACAACTAATGGTGGAATTGATATAGAATATATGGTATTGAACCGTGAAAACACACAAATTTACATTGATTTTATTTAAAAGTATAAGCATTGAGCATATCTCCCCTATGTTGTAAGAGGCATGTCCATCCTACAACTTATCTAATGAGTTCATCGTAGCTCGGACGGGTCGTGGGGCTCTGTACGGGTGTTTTCAGGCAGAACAACACAAGTGTTGTTTCTTGACAGTAACGACAATTGTGCCTTCTCATGAAAATTTATTTACATAACATAACGATACTTGTGCCATTTTATCAGACATTCTAATATCAGTAACGGCACAAGTGTCGTTTTCTACATTGTTGAGGCAATTTGCTTTTCTTTTCATAATTCAATATTTTATCAAGTGTCTTTCTAATTGTCATTATATTTACAAATATAACGATAGTCATACCATTCTACTAAATGCTATCTTCCCAGGCAGAACGACAATTGTTGTTTTCTTGACAGTAACGACAGTAGTGCCGTTCTCATGGAAATTTATTTACTTAATATAACAACACTTGTGCCGTTCTAATATCGATAACGGCACAAATGTCGTTTTCTACATTGTTGAGGCAATTTTCTTTTCTTTTCATAACTCAATATTTCATCAAGTGTATTTCTCATTATCGTTATATTTACATTGTAAATATAACGATAGTCATACCATTCTACTAAATGTTATCTTCTCAGGCAGAATGACACAAGTGTCGTTTCCTTAACAATAACGGTAGTAATGCCATTCTCATGGAAATTTATTTACATAATATAAAGACACTTGTACCGTTCTATTAGATGTTCTAATATCAGTAACGGCACAAGTGTCGTTTTCTACATTGTTGAGGCAATTTTCTTTTCTTTTCATAACTAAATATTTCATCAGATGTCTTTCTCATTATCGTTATATTTGTAAATATAACGATAGTCACACAATTCTACTAAATGTTATCTTCCCAAGAAAAACGACACTTATTTGCACAACATAACGACACGTGTGCCGTTCTAGTGGACGTTCTAATATCGGTAAGGGCTCATGTCGTTTTCTACATTGTTGAGGCAATTTTCTTCTCTTTTCATAACTCAATATTTCATCAAGTGTCTTTCCCATTATCGTTATATTTGTAAATATAACGATAGCCATACAATTCTATTAAATGTTATCTTCCCACGCAAAACGACACAAGTGTCGTTTTCTTGACAGTAACGGCACTTGTGCCGTTCTTATGGACTTATTTGCATAACATAACGACACCTGTGTCGTTCTAGTAGATTTTCAACCTGGGAGTGATGACATAAGCACATTTAAATTAAAGGCATCAAAACTATATAGATCAAAGTTACACCGCTCAACAGAAATGCATAAGAACATTTAAATTAAAGCCATAAAAACAGTACAATTGCAAAATTATTCTCCAAGATGTTAAACTGTACAATTGTAAAATACATTTTACTAAATCTACTTAAACTGTATAATTGCAAAATACATTTTACTAAGTCTACGGATCAAAGTGCCATGCAAATATTTTTGCAGCTAATTTCTTCCTCCAAATAAGCATATATTCCGAACGAACAAAATCCATATTGAATTGAGCTTGCAAAAATTCTATATATTTCACTATAAACAGCCTACAATCAGATCTGTAAGTAATAATACATATACGAAAGTTAGATGAAAATGACATACACGAACGAATTCATAGATGTCCGTGTTAAATGTTAAATTACACTAAGCTTACCCATTTGTTTGTCCAGGAACTACAACCTTCTGATAATGGAATATCTTGGTGTTAAAGTTTTCGCCACGCACTACGTGTGCCTTTATCAACCAGGGAACGACCACTTGAATAGACTTCATACATTCGGCCAGCTGAGCAACACGGATGTGTTTTGGAAAACTATCATAAATATAAATAGGTCGCTCCATCAAATCGATCTTCAGTACAAACCAGTGAGACCCCGGTACACAGTAAGGAGCATACAAAAATCTACAATTACTCTAGTGTTTACCAAGCACTAGTGAAGTCCCTTCAACATAATCGACGAGCTCTTGGTTGAATACGTAGTTAATATTTTTCTTCTTCGGTGTACCCATTTTTAGGTAAGCATTCTTGACAAGTTTCCAAAAATAACAATCCAATAAGACAATCTTGTTGAAATATATATGGATATGTCACTGCCCTTTCTCTAATGTGGTATAAGGCCGAGTCGACGTGTTGTACGACATAGCATGATTAATTAAATGCATTATTTATGTAGTAATAATAATGATATACATATATTACTTACATCATCGATAAGCCACCCATCGTTTATCAATAGGTCATCGAAGAATTCGTCGCACTTCACAGATAGCCAAAGTTACTACATCACTGTGAAAACCATGATATCAAAATAAGCTAACATGTAAATCGAAACTTATGTGCTTCAATGTGCTAACCGCTTGAATATAATAAATTACCTCTACGATGCATTTGTCAACCACTTGTTGAGGTCTTCAACTTTTGCAAGATCTACTTCCTTGAAAGGATCATATGTTTGAATGTTCAAAAGTTTTCTCCTCTTTAAGGGATTAATGTATGGAGAAAGCAGCACGACTGCTTTTCTCTTAACTTGATGCCCCCTTCCTACAGCCGTTCAGAGTTTGGATTGTCGATCACATTGATTTCATTACTAGATAGGCATACATGTGAAGATATTAAAGGCTCTCCAATTTCACAACAATTGATCAAACACACAATTCAATCCATTTTAACACACAATATTGAAAAGTGAAATATTGAAATGTAAATTATATATACCTTTACTAAATATGTTTGAATCATCTTTCGTCCCAACCGTCTTCTCACTTACCTCATCTTGTCGAGCTATCTCGGTCCGAAATTTATCTCCAATCCTAAATGAAGGCCGTTGTTGGTACACAACTATGGCAGATGCAGGATCTGGCACAAATCCTACAAATGGGACCCAACAAAAAAATTATTTTTAGCTTATTGCAAAGAGAAACAGAGAGAATATACCTTCATCATATGTAGGAAAAGCCTCGTGTTGTTTTTTCGGCGTGACTTCTTCTTTGGAGCAATCTTCAATAATCACCTCTTCCTCTTCCATTCTTGCCCCTTCGTTTCCCCTACTATGTGTACTATAAGCACCGTAATCAAACCCACTCCTTTCCGACTGGACTCCACCTCTTCCAACTGTTTGGATAAACAAATCAATTTTCTTTTCAACCCGATTAAAGTGCTCCAACATCTCACTTCGCAGCCTCTCCTCAACTCCTTTAAGTTCTTGTTTTATTATGTTTATGACATAATCA